GGAGGCTGAGGCAGGAGAATTGCCTGAACCCAGGAGGCGGAGGTTGCGGTGAGCAGAGATCGCGCCATTGCACTCCAGCCTGGGTAACAAGAGCGAAACTCCATCTCAAAAAAAAAAAAGGTAAGAAAAGCACATGGAATTTTACCCTAGTTTTAGTGCTGGTCTGCCCTGAGACCAAGGCAAGAGTGGAGCTCTCCCCACACCCCTCACTTTAGAGGGATCTGGTTTGAACTCCCCTACGAGCTTCACCCTCCCATGAGCTGCAGAGTCGGCGGGTCAAGGAGACACACCCACCTAGGTCCACACCCCCATGCTCCCTACTCCCCAACCCCGGGCTTGAACACACACAGATCAAGTTTTCAAACACAAATTCCAAGTATGAGTAGTCCCAAGCCCACATGCAGGGCTTCATGCAGGTTTCTTTCCTGGATCTGCCCTCCCAAAGACTGACTTTGCTGCTTCTGTGCATAGCACTGGGCCTGTAGTGTGCCCAGGGAATGGCTACTGGCTGGGGTGTTCAACCTGTGAATTCCGAAAGGCAGGTTGAGAAAATTCCATCTGAAGACTTTGGGTTTAGAGCTCCCTCGTAACTTAGAGATGGTTTTTTAAAAGGACTCAGGTGTCCATCTTTGGTTCAGAAAAGATGATCTTGTACCTAAACTTCTCCCATGTTGCCATCACAGCCTCAAGTGTCATATTGGTAAGTAACCTTATGGTCATAAGTTGTATCTTTATTAACAATGACTTACTCCAGGTGCTAACCTCAGTTCTTTTGAAACAGAACATCTGATCTTGTGATATTAAAGCTTCTTTATTTTATGATGTTAAAGCTGCTTCCTTTACTAAGCAAGTGACTTTTCAAATTGAAGATTTATAATTAAATGCAAAGATGGTAAATTAAATCATGCCACTGGTATGAATGCTTTTATGTTAGGCTTAGGAATAATCTTTTTATGCTTTTATTTAAAGTGTTTATAATATTTAAAAGAGTTTGCCATATTAGACTATCTTACAGATGTCCTATGATTCCATTTTTTTAAAACATGTAATTGACATGATTTCACATTTTAAAAAGTAAGAATGTGAGCAAATGTGTAAGTGGCATAATATTTAAGAGAAATGGATTTATCAATTTTATTAATTAAATTGAGATTTATGAGAGCCTTTGAAGTGCTGTGGAGCATTTCAGAAATAATGACCAGGTACAGCGGCTCATGCCTGTGATCACAGCACTTTGGTAGCCCAAAGTGGGGGAATCACGAGGCCAAGAGATGGAGACCATCCTGGCCAACATGGTGAAATCCTGTCTCTACTAAAAATACAAAAATTAGCCAGGCATGGTGGCATGGGCCTTTAATCCCAGCTACTTGGGAGACTGAGGCAGGATAATTGCTTGAACCCAGGAGGTGGAGGTGGCAGTGAGCCGAGATTGCACCAATGCACTCCAACCCGACAACAAAGCAAGACTCTGTCTCAAAAATAAAAAAATAAAATAAAATAAATAAGATTGTGAGCTTGCTTGGTCAGGCATTTGAAATGCTAAAAGTAAATCAAATATATTAAGCACATTAATACAGTTTAAAATATTTAAGGGGGTTTGCTGGATACAAAAATCAATATTAGAAAGCAATGGTACTTCTATACTTCACCAACAAGAAAATAAAACGGTCCTCACATAAATGAATTCTTGGTATACAACAAAGTTGCACTGCAGGGCAGTGGGAGTAAAATGCCTTTCCAATAACTGGTGCTAGGATGATTGTGTACCATGCTGGAAAAAGATGCAATTGAACTCCTAATTCACACAAAAGTCAATTCCAGGTGAATATGTGATCTAATATGTTACAAATTGTTAAGTTATCCAATGATTAATATAGGAGAATAGCTTCATGACCTGGGGGGTGGTGAAGGGTTTCTTAAATGAGACACAAAAAACACTAAGCATAAAAGGAAAGATTAGTACAATGAATTACATGTAAACAAACACTTCCATTCAACAACAAAAAAATGCCATTAAAAGAACAAAAATACAAGCCATAGACTGACAGGAGATATTTGCAACTTATGTAACAAGCTAACAGCAACAAAACTTGTTTCCAATAATATAAACAAATTGATAATTTGGTAAGAAATTTGATTTAAAAAAAAGGCAGAAACCTCAATTAAAAATAGGCAAATGACTTGATTTTGCATTTCGCAATACAGAAAATCCAAATGCCTACTAAACATGGAAAAGTGTTCTTCATATAATTAATACAGAGAGATGCTAATTAAAATAATAAGATGTCATGGGGTACCTACTACATTAGCAAACTTTTTAGAGTTTCATAATATCAAATATTGATGAAGAGGTCTACTTTTTGGTGGGAATGTACTGTGATTTGTACAGTCAGCTTGTTTTTGTTGTTTTGTTTTTTGAAACAGGGTCTCACTCCATCGCCCAGGCTGGAATGCAGTGGCGCAATCTCAGCTCACTTGCAACCTCTGCCTCCCAGGTTCAAGCAATTCTTCCACCTAAGTCTCCCAAGTAGCTGGGACTACAGGAGCATGCCACCATGCCTGGCTAATTTTTGTATTTTTAGTAGGGATGGGGTTTCACAGTGTTGGCCAGGCTGGTCTTGAATTTCTGGACTCAAGCAATCTGCCTCCTTCAGCCTCCGAAAGTGCTGGGATTACAGATGTAAGCCACCACACTTGACCTGGACAGTCACTTTGGAAAACAATTAGTGATTATTTTACTGTGCTGCTTGGAGGAAGCATCACCCCTCTGGGAATCAGGATCTTTAGACATAATTCCCCAAATGGGTCACTGAGAATGATGGTGAGACATTCCAACTTCCACTTAGTTCCCAGATCCACGTATCCTGGGAATACAACACCATATACAGTGGCAGATGCCTTAAGGTCTATTCCGTAACCTGAGGATAGCGCCCTATCTTTTGCAGGGTGCCTTCTGCGAGCTGGCTCTTTCGCTGTACCTTCCAGAGGTGCTTTCACTACTCTTTCACGATGGCAGTTTCCAGATGGTGCATGATCCATAACCACAAGCTCAATGCCATACCTTCATTGCTATGAAAGCAGTCCTGTGGTTCAAAGGTAGTATTAGGTGCCATCCCAGGTCAGTCGGTCGTACACTTTATGAGCTTGCACACAGTGTTGACAGCTGAGGCACCACAGGCAGGAAAAGTAAAAACATATCTGGAATATGTGTCAATCCCATTGAAGATAAAATGTTTTCTTTTTCAGAGTTGAATGGAACTGTTATAAACAATAGGCCACTAAATAACTGGTTGGTCACCTGAAGGAAGAATACCAATAAGAGGAGTAAGTTCTAGGGATGTGATATACAGCACGGTGACTATAACTGATGCTGTATTTTATAATTGAAATTTGCTTTCAAGATTGCTAAGATCTAGTTAAGCATTTTTCTACCATAAAAAGGTAACTACATGAAATGATAGATGTATTAATTGGCTTGATTTTGATAATCATTACACAATGTATATGTACATCAAATCTTCACACGTACACCTTAGATACATAACATTTTTATGTGTCTCTTATACTTCTATAAGGCTGAGGGGAAAAAGAAGGAATGATACCATATCAAGAATTCGGGAATGATCTTTATTGCTGGAAGGTTAGACATTTAGCAGCAACAGCAGGTAGATCAGCCATGGTGAGAGGGAGTTTATATCGTAGGAGCCAAGCTTCAGAGCTGCTTGGAACACCGCAGGAACCTGCTTCAGAGTTCTTTTTTCTCTTGGCCCAAGTCAAAATTAGCAGTTTTCCAAATTATTCCAACAGTTTGTTGAAGCAGTATTCCCAAGTAAATTATATATTTCGCCTCCAAAATGGCCTATAAAGGAAGGTGTGAAGTATAGCAACTTGTCCTTTACCTTGGAAGGGATGTCTCAGCATATTCCAAAGTGTTGACACCTAAAAATGTTATTGAAGTGTGTGGCTGCTGAATCTTTGTGTGTTTGTCTTCCTTCATTTAGATTACATGTCTTAACAAGATATCCAGAATAATTGCCATTTCTTGCTCCTGAGGTCCAAATAACATGATGTCAAGTAAAGTTCTGTGGGATGTTCAGATGGCCCAGAATCCTTTGCACTATCATGGCAGAGATCTAGAGAAATGACATAGTGCTTGGACAAGACCATGAGTGTACACTGTTATCTACACCATGTGTGTTTCTTGTCCTGATTGATAGAGAGTAAAATGGAAGCAGATCAATAGCCACTAACCACACCAAAGGCAATGTTAATCTGCTATAGTAAAGATGCCACATCGAATACAGCAGATGTAATTGAGGTTTCTACTTGGATATGTTTGTAGTAGTTCAATGTCATATGCTCTGATTCACCTGATTTTCTAGGGGCCAGCATGGTGAATTATATGGGGTTATAATGAAATCCACCACCCCTATATCCTTTAAATTTCTGAGGGTGACGGTAAACTCTGCCGTGTCACTCCTGGGATGTTATATTGCTTTTGATTTATAGTCTTGGTGGTGGGCTGAGAATGTAGTTTCAGGGGCTTCTACTTGCCATTCCTATTACAATAGCTCTTACTCTATAAGTCAATGAATTAATATGAAGGTTCTGTAAAATCCTCATGTGTCTGTTCCAATTATATATTCAGAAACTGGGAAAATGATCTCTGTGTGAATCTGTAGAGCAGAGGACACATATGTGCAGCTAGGACTCCATTAATTACTTGACCCTCATATACTTTTGCTCTACCAAGAAGTCCATGAATATGCTTTTGTTCTTTGGGTATCAGCATCAATTCAGACCCTCTATCTAACAGTCCTCATAAAAGCTATGTATTCCCATTTCCAGAGCATGGTGCCCTAATGTATAGCCATAGACCTTTTGGGGAATAGCTAGAGGAATCACTACTGTATACGTTTGTCCTGGTATTGTGGGGTTCTTCTTCATGTGGACCTGGCCTCTCTTTCAGTCAAGGGGAGTGTTCTGCAGCGGGTTTGAAAACTACCTTAGGTTTGGAAACTGAGCAAGGAATCCTGACTTCTACTGGAGTAGCTGACCGTAGTCTTCAGCTCATCTACCCTTGGTTTTCTTTTGATTTTATATATTTTGAGCAATATTCTTGAGGCTACATATCTATCTAACTCCTTAGAACATTCTATTATATTTTTAAAAATGAACTATTCAATTTATATGAATTTGTAGATTATGAAAAACTAATCACTGGTGGAATAAATCAGAACAATGATTGCTTCTGTGGCTGGGGACTTACTGGGGCATAAGGCATCCTTTGGAGATCAAAATGAGCTTGCTTCTTTTTTTATTTTTAAATTGACAAATTAAAATTGTATACATTTACGGTGTACAACATGATGTTTTGAAATATGAGTGCATTATAAAATGGCCAAGTCAAGCTAATTAATAAATGCATTGCCTCACATGTAGTTTATTTGTGGTGATAACACTTAACATCTACTCTGTTAGCAATTTTCAAATATATAATACATTGTTATTAACTATCGTTATCTTATTGTACAATACATCTCTTGAACTTACTCTTCCTGACTGGCTGAAATTTTGTATTCTTTGTCCCAGATCTCCTCATTCCTCAGCCCTCTCCATGCTAGTTCCTGATAATCACCATTCTACTCTCTGCTTCTGCGAGTTCAGCTTTCAAAAATTCCACCTACAGGTATGATCATGTGGTATTTGTGTTTCTTTGTTTCTGGCTTATTTCACTTAGCATAATGTCTTCCAGGTTCATCCATGTTGTGGCAAAGTTCCTTCTTTTTTAAGGCTGAATAATATTCCAGTTTGTGTGTGTGTGCGTGTGCAGGTATATACATACCATATTTTCCTTTTTAATGTTTTATTTCATTTTCAATTGACACACAATCATACATATTATTTATGGAGTATAACAAGATGTTTTGATACATGTGTACATTGTGAAATGATCAAATCAGGTTAAGTAGCATATCCATCACCTTACATATCTATCTTTTTTTTGTTGTGAGAAGATTCACAATTCTCTCTTTTAGCTTTTTTGAAATATGCAATATATTATTGCTAACCATAGTCACTCTGTTGTGCAGTAGAACACCAGAACCTATTCCTCCTATCTAGCTGTAACATTATACCTGTTGACGAACCTCTCCCCATCCCCACTCCTCCTCACTACCCTCCCAGCCTATGGGAACCATTATTCAACTTCTATGAGATCAACTTTTTTGGATTTCACATATGAGTGAGGTCAGGCAATATTTGTCTTTCTGTCCTTGGTTTATTTCACCTAACATAATCCTCTGGGTTTATCCATGTTGTGCCAAATGACAGGATTTTATTCTTTTTTTATGGTAGAATGGTATTCTATTGTGTGTACCAATATACCACATTTTATTTATCTGTTCTTTTGTTGGTAGACACTTAGGTTGATTGCATATCTTGGTTATTGTTATTAATGCTGCAATCAACATGGGAGTGCAGATTAGCTCCTCGACATACTGATTTCATTGCCTTTGGATATAAATCTTTCATCTTTTTGATAACAGCCATTCTAAGAAATTTGAGTATTTCAATACAAAATTTTAGGGATTGCTGGCTCATATGGTAGCTCTATTTTTAATTTTTTGAGAATTAAAAAATGTTCATAATGGCTGTACTAATTTATGTTCCCACAATATATAGGAGTTCCCTTTTCCCCACATCCTCACTAACTTATCTTTCATCTTTTTGATTAAAGCCATTCTAAGAAATGTGAGGTGATCTCTTATTGTGAGTTCAATGTGCTGATGATGATGGATTAGTGATACTGAGTATTTTTTAATGTGTCTATTGGCCATGTGTATGACTTTTTTAATGACAAATGACTGTTCAGGTCCTTTATCTATTTTTAAATTGGATTATTTGTGTTTTTTTAAATATTGAGCTTTTTGAGGTGTTTTTTAGCATCTATTGTTTGAGTTCCTTATATGTTTTGCATATTAACCCCTTGTCAAATGCATGGTGTGCAGATATTTTCTTCCATTCTGTAGGCTGTCTCTCCAAAGTGTTGATCTTTTCTTTGCTGTGCAGAAGCTTTCCAGTATGATGTATTCTCATTGATCTGTTTTTGCTTTTGTTCCCCCTGCTTTGGAGGTTATAGCCAAAAGATTATTGCCCAGACCAATTTTGTGGAGCTTTCTCTTCTGGTATCTTCTAGTAGTTTTACAGTTTCAGGCCATATGTTTAAGTCCTTAGTGCACTTTTTTTTTTTTTGAGTATTTTTATTTATTTTATTTATTTTTTTCCCCCATGTATTTATTTTATTGCATTTTAGGTTTTGGGGTACATGTGAAGAACATGCAAAATTGTTGCATAGGTACACACGTGGCAGTGTGATTTGCTGCCTTCCTCCCCATCACCTACATCTGGCATTTCTCCCCTTGGTATCTCTCCCCAGCTCCCCACCCCCCACCGTACCTCCCCTATTTCCCCCCAACTGACCCCAGTGTGTAGTGCTCCCCTCCCTGTGTCCATGTGTTCTCATTGTTCAACACCTGCCTATGAGTGAGAACATGCAGTGTTTGATCTTCTGCTCTTCTGTCGGTTTGCTGAGAATGATGGTTTCCAGGTTCATCCATGTCCCTACAAAGGACCCAAACTCATTGTTTTTGATGGCTGCATGATATTTTGTATATGGTGTGAGATAAGGATCTAATTTAATTATTGTGCATGTAGGTATCCAGATTCCCCAAAACCATTTACTGACGAGACAGTTCATTCCTCATTGTGTGTTCTTGGCTTGGCATCTTTGTCCAAAATCAATTGACAGTAAATGTGTGAATCTATTTCTTGGCTCTCCTTTCTGTTCCAATGGTCTAAGTATCTGTTTTAATGCCAGTACCATGATGTTTTGATTATTACAGCTTTGTAGTATATCTTGAAATCAGGTAATGTGATGCCTCCAGCTTTGTTCTTTTTGCTCAGGATTGCTTTGGCTATTTGGAGTCTTTTGTGGTTGCATATGAATTTTAGGAATGTTTTTTCTATTCCTCTGAAAAATGTCATTGGAATTTTGATAGGAATTTCACTGAATTTTTAATTCATTTTGGGTAGTATGAATATTTTAACTATATTAATTCTTCTAATCCAGGAACACGAGGTATCATTCCATTTACTTGTGTCTCCTTCAGTTTTTTTCATCATGTTTAATAGTTTTCAGTGTACATATTTTTCACCTTCTTGACTAAATTTACTATTTTATTTTTTGATGCTATTGTAGACGGAATTGTATTCTTAATTTCTTTTTCAGATATCTCATTATTAATATATAGAAACACTACTAATTTTTGTATGTTGATTTTGTATCCTGCAATTTACTGAAAAATTTTTTTAGTTTTAATAGCTTTTTCTTGGTGTCTTTAGGGTTTTTAAATTTAACATATAGTTAAATTTAATATATAGTTAAATTTAATAGTTCACATATAGTTAACATAAAGTTAAAGACAATGTTAACTTTATGATTTGGATGCCTTTTATTTCTTTCTCTTGCCTAATTTCTCTGGCTAGGACTTTTAACTATTCCACAGAGTTTCTGGTGGTCAGGAATCTGAGGGTGGTTTTGCTGGTTCACTGATGGTGGTAACATGCTACTGTGTGGCCTCTGGGATCCTATCATCTCCATGACTACTAGGAACCCTAGTTCTGAAACAGCATCTCTTATCATCAACTCTGATCTACAGAGGAGAGCCACCAGACCTGAATGACACTGTTGGCCTCTATCAGCAATTTCCTTATTGCCTTGATATATAGAGTCCTCCATGTGCATTCAAAAATCCTATTTAGTTGGTAAGTTTCCAGTTTCACATAGTAGACCCTATTTAGCATGCACACTTTGCTGGGCCTTTCAATTCCTTCCTCCAGTCTGCCTGGCAACTCTGACACCTCCACTTGATTTAATATGGGCCATTGCTCTTAATATCTTCTGAAGTCCATCCCAGCTAGAGCTAAAAATAATGGTTTGATAGTTTATTTTCATTTCACCCATATACTTCACTCAACTTTCTTCTGGGTTAGGATTCAGCTGGAGTGATGTGTGATCCTGAGCTCTGATTGGTGTTTCAATTCTTCCCATATGATTGGGGTTAATACAAAGTGCATGAGATTATTATAATCAGCTCAGAAAAAAGAATGGTGGACACAAGAAGAGATCAGAAAGTACGCAGAAGAGGAACAGACCCGGGAACAAATAGCTTAAACTTACAAAAGAGCTAGCATGAAGTCCTGTTTTTCAGGAAGAGATGTCTATATAAGGCCAATGTGAGGTTCATTTTCAGACAATTTATTAATGTTAATTGAGAGCTTTTTGTTTGTTTCAAATACTATAGCCATATTTTTCCCGTCTGAACCCAATAAACAGCTAGTAAAAGTAGCCAACATGGACAAAAATTAACACAGAAAAGGCCTGTGGTCATATTTAACACATTAACTATTCAGCATTGAGACTATATCCATTTCTATTTTCTGCCAGAAAATTAGCAGCAATTAAAACTATAACTTTTTTCTTATGTCCATATAGGCCAGAGGTTAAAATAGAAAGTTAAATAACATGAATGACATGGCAAATGACCCAGCAAGTGTTTTACCGAGATAAGCTTTAACACTTCTGTTAAAATATTGAAAAATTGTCACTTCCTTGTTAGAGCTGAAAATAGCCAGCTCTTACAAATTGTTCTTCCTGATGCAAATCCATGTTAAGCTTTGTATTATTAACACAAATCACTCAAAACAATTACAAATGGGACTTAGGGAGAATTGTGTAAAAAATAATACTAGATTGTTGATAAAGCATTTAATCCAGTTTAAATGAATGCTTTACCCAAAGAGAGCTGACTTGAGGTTTTTTTTCCTTTCCTTCTATAAATTCAAGGCTTACATAAAAATTCAATTTAATAAATATGTATTAGGCAGCTGCTAAGTAAAAATTCAGTGACTAGGTGTTCCCAGGACCACAAATGTGAAGAAGATGTAGTGAATACTACATAAATTACAATGTAATTGTGGTAATAAATATTAAAGATGTGTAATTTATTACAATGGAAGGCAGCATAGAAACTGACTATTCAGTGAAGGAGTGGATTACTTTTAACATGTGTGATGGAAAAGGAATTTATAAAAGAAATGATATTTGGGGTAGGCTTAGAAGTCTGTGCACCATTTCAGAAGTTGGTGATGGGCCTATAGGATGATTATTCTGGAAAAGGGTCTTTCACCAAACAGGTCATGGAGAACTGAAAGCTCATGGTGTGTTCAGAGAACAGCCAGCAGAGGAGAGGAGGAAAGAAGAGAAGGAAGGAAGAAGATCAAGCTGAAATGGTACTACAGGGACTCTTAATGTTCCATTAAGCCAAAGAGTGTGGGACAGGAGAGTAATTCAATTCAGTATGTATTTTGAATTGATGACTGATGATAGTGACTAAGGAGAATTAGAAAGTAGAGGCAGTTAGACTAGTTCAGTGGCTGTGGAAATAGTCTAGGTGAGAGATGAGGTCACATTTCAAAGGCCTTGAAGAAATGGACACCTTTGGCAGAGATACAATGTTGTCTCCCAATGTCTGTTTGTTGCTTCTTGTTTTACTTATAACCTCCTGACCTTTCACTAGGTTCATCTCCATTAAGAAGAAAGATTAATCCCTGCCTCCCTTGCAGTTAGATGGGGTCATGTGTCTAAGGTCTGGTTAGCAGATATAAATGGCAGCAGTATGTGCAACTTCTGTGGAATGACCCTAAAGAAAGAGATTGACTTTTCTTTATCTTTTCTCCTTTCTGATGGTTGGAGGATGGACATGGTGGCTAGATCTGGAGCATCCATTTGGGCTATGAGGCAAGTTCAAGATGTGAGAAGGACACTGTCTCCCTGACACCTTGGTTTACCATACAGCACCTGGGCTGATTCTCTCTGTAACTTTACCTGAGAGAAATAAACTTCTGTCTTGTATAAGCCATTGTTATGGGCTGTTTCTGCCATTTTTAGCTGATCCTAATCCTAATTTTTACATTATCTATCCATAAGCTATGAAGAACCTCGGAAAGCTTTAAGCAGGGGAATGAAATTATGAATATCATCTATTGCAAGAGATTCTCTGCTCACCATGTCTTGAAAGAACTGGAGAGATGCAATGCTTCAGGGATCGACACACCTTAGGAGGCCACTGCAGCCAGCTGGTTTGAGAGGGGACCTGGATGGAAATAAGGCAGTGGGAATGGGCTGTCATTCTGTGAAGATACCCACAGCCCTTTGACAACTCCCACATTTTTGCTCTTACTATTCCTTCTGATTAGAAAGATCTCACCTTCAGACCTACTGAGTCCTGAAATCATCTTCAGCATTCTCACGGAGTTTTGTTTTCCCACAAACGTTTGTCCACTCATATTTGTTCCTGCTATCAATGCTCTCTCAAACACACATATAAATCTGATGGTATTTTTCCTAGTTAAACTCCTTGGGTGGACAAAGCACTCCAAGAACTAACCATCATGGAGCACTTACTGTGCACTGGGCAGATCGTTAAGCCCTTTATATGCACTGTCTCATTGACTCCTCTAAGCGTTTCTGTGAGGGGAGTAGCTTCTTTCCAAGAACGCTGGACTTCCCTCAGAAGCCACATTCTCTCCTGGCTATCCTACATAGGCAAAGGGGAATGTCGTTGTTGATAGTGTTGTTTCTGCCTTGGCGCTTCTCAGGTGCCTATTGGGAAGGCGGTTACCCTAGAGCTGGAGGCTTCCAAAAGGAGAAGTTAACACCCACTGTCTTTAGATTGTGTTAGCCATAATACTCAACAACAACAAATAAACTCTATGTCTTTTATATATTTAAATCACTGATCCAACTCAACAGATATTTACCAAATACCAATTTTGAAATTTACATCCTACCACTTATTTTGATGAAGAAAATGAAAAATACAACAGTTTTATTTTCTTTTTCCATAGATTAGCCAGTTGTTCTAATACCATTTACTGAAGAAATAATAGTACTTATTTCCCTCTCTGGTTTGCAATACCATATTAATCATTTATTTTAAAATAATTTTCACCTATGGGTGTATCTTTTGGAATGTTATAAACTCAAATTATTCCCTGGAAATATAACCTTGCAATTATGTGGAGCTTTTTAAAATCTTTTCTTTTTTCTTTTTTATTTTTTTAGACAAGGTCTCACTGTGTCACCCAGGCTGGAGTGCAGTAGTGCAAATTCTAGCTCACTGTAACCTCGAGCTCCCGGGCTCAAGCAGTCCTCCAACCTCCCTACCACAGCCTCCCAAGTAGGTAGGACTGCTGGTGTGGGCCATCATGCACGGCTAATTTTTTAAAAAATTATATATATATATAAATGGGGTCTTACTATGCTGCCCAGGCTGGTCTTGAACTCCCGGCCTCAAGCAGTCTTCCCACCTTGGCCTCCCAAAGTGTGGGATTACATGCATGAGTCACCATGCCTGACTTTATTTATTTTGGAATAATTATAGACTCACAGGAAGTTGCACAAATAGCTCAGAGTCCTGTGTACCCTTCCCTGCAATGGTGACATCTTATATAACTGTACAATATCAAAAGTTGATACAAAAATACAAAAATTGATATTAGCAAATTACTGTTAAATAAGCTACACCTATTTGATTTTTCACCATTAATAAAAGCACTCCTTCACTATTATGGATGTGTGAATAGTTCTATGCAATTTTATTCAAATATTTAGATTCATGTAACCACCACCACAATCAAGAAACAGAATGATTCCATTACATACTTCTTCATATTTGCACCTGGCCCTCACCTTCTTCCACCTCTCCCCCAACTTCTCTGTGTCCTGGCTATCACTAAACTGCCTCCATCTCGATCCTTTTGCCATTTCAAGAATGCTTTATAAATGGAATCATTACTATACAGAATTTTTTGAGAGTGACATTTTCCACTGAGCATGTTGGGGCTTGAAGTCCATCTAGGTTGTTGCATGCATCAGTTGTTTATGTTTTTTGGCTAGGCGTGGTGTTTCAGGCCTGTAATCCCAGCATTTTGGGAGGCTGAGGCAGGCAGATCACCTGAGACCAAGAGTTTGAGACCAGCCTGGGCAACAAAGGGAAACCCCATCTCTACTAAAAATACAAGTAATTAGCCGGTGTGGTGGCTTGCACCTGTGGTCCCAGCTACTTGTGAGGCTGAGGCAGAAAAATCACTTGAACCCAGGAGTCAGAGGTTGCAGTGAGCTGAGATTTTGCCACTGCACTCCAGCCTGGGCCACAAAGTGAGACCCTATCTCAAAAAGACAAAAAAAAAAAAAAAAGTAGTTAATGTTTTTTGCATTAGTAAGTAGCTTTCTGTTGTATGGATTTGGCAGTTCATTCAACCATTTCACCAATTGAAGAAAATTTGGGTTGTTTGCAATATTTTGCTATTATGAATAAAATGGCTATGAATATTGGTGTATAGATTTTGGTGTAAGTTTTCATTTCTCTGGGATAAATTCCTAAGAGTGCAACTTCCAGGTGATATAGTAAGTACATGCTTTTCTTTATACGAAATTGCCAAATTATTTTCCAGAGTAGCTATGCCACTTTACATTTGTCCCAGCAATGTATGAGAGATACTGTTTCTCTGTATTCTTGGCAGCATTTAATATTATCACTACTTTAAAAAATTGTGATAAAATTCACACACCATAAAATAGACCCTTTAAAAGTGTATAATTCAGCTGTTTTTAGTATAAAAAGCTGTGTATCCATGACCATTATCTAATTCCAGAATACTTTAATCATCCCACAAACAAAACCATATCCATATCCCCCATTCCCTGTCCCTCCTCTCATCCCCTAGCAACCACCAGTAGACTCTCTGTCTCTATAGATTTGCCTATTCTGGACATTTCATGAAAATGGAATTATAATATGTGACCTTTTCTATTAATGTTATTTTTAATTTTAGTTGTTCTAATAGAAGTGTAGTGATATCTGGCTGTGGTTTTAATTTGTGTTTCCTTAGTGACTAATAGTGTTGAACATCTTTTCATGTGCTTACATGCCATCCCTCTTTCCTTTTTGGTGAAATATTTGTTCATATCTTTTGCCTAACATAAAAGTCCAAAAAAGGAGCTTAATACATATAAGGATGAGATTGTCATATTCAAGCTAGAATGCAATGAAGCGGCATCTTTAAACTGTGAAAGGGAAGGTACAAAAGGAACAATCAGTATTTCAGTTCTGACCCTCCACAGTCAGAGCTGGTTAAGCACACTCTGTAAGGTTGGCGTCTGTCCTTATGGCTGATGCTGGCACTGTGGGGATGACTGTCACTGATGCAGGGAAGAAAGATGGATGCCAAGAGGATGAGGGAGCAAGAATAAGCCAGAGCTCACAGGGCAAACTGGGACCATGGCAGCTCCCACTGCCTCGGGTCTTGGTGTGGGTGTCCTGCAGAATCTGAGATCCTTCATGAAGGAGCTAAACACATGCCTGGGCCAGCAGTCAGAAAAGGTGAAGGAGGATCTGGGGAAGGTGGAGCAATTGAAGGCCTGGGTGCTGTGTTACACCAACAAGGAGATCCAAAAAAAAATGACAATGTGCATAAACTACAAAAATGTCTCCTGCTTCATTTCCTTCTAATCTCACATAAGAATCTCCTCTGTGACCCTTCCTAATCAGAAATACCCACTGAGGGGAATTTGGGGAAATTTAATTGAGCCCCACACTCACAAGTAATATTTCAGCTTATTTTTGCAACATTTTAATAAAGTGGGCATGGTGATAAAGATATCTGAAAGGGGCCAAGCATGTTGGCTCATTCCTCTAATCCCAGCACTTTGAGAAGCCAAGGTAAGATGATTGCATAAGCCCAGGATTTTAAAACCAGTCTGGGCAACATAGTGAGATCTTGTCTCTACACAAAATTTTTTAAAAAAATTATCTGGATGTGATGACATACCCCTGTAGTCCCAGGTACTTGGAGGCTGAGACAGAAGAATTGCTTGAGCACAGAAGGTCAAGGTTGCAGTGAGTCATGATTGCACCACTGCACTCCAGCCTGGGTGACAGAGCGAGATTCTGTCAGAAAGAAGGAAGGAAGGAAGGAAGGAAGGAAGGAAGGAAGGAAGGAAGGAAGGAAAGAAGGGTGGGAGGGAGGGAGGGAGGGAGGGAAAGAGAGAGATGGAAGGAGAGAGAGAAAGAGAAAGAAAGAGAGAAAGGGAGAAAGAAGAAAGAAAAAGAAAGAAAGAAAGAGAAAGAAAGAAAGAAAGAAAGAAAGAAAGAAAGAAAGAAAGAAAGAAAGAAAGAAGAAAGAAAGAGAAGGAAAGAAAGAGAAAGAAAAAGAACGAAGGAAAGAAAGAAAAAAAGAAAGAAAAAGAAAGAAGAAAAAGAAGAAAGAAAAAGAAAGAAGAAAGAAAGTCTGAAAACCATCTGGAAAAAACAGCATGCGTATCTGGTAGCTTTAGATCTGGTTTATTGTGGTAACCATGCCCTAGAGGAGTTTCAACTGTACTTACTGGAGAATATTATCTGACTGGATCCCAGCAGAAAAACAAGTCTTTCCCAGATGGAATTTTGACAAAAATCTATTAAATGTACACAGATGAGGGCAGAGTGAAGCAAAGCAAGAAGGAAAATTGGGGCATCAGAAGAAGCAACAGTAGGAAGTCGTTCCCTCCCAGAGCCCCGTGCAATTTGGAGCCAAGAGGAATGGTGGTGTGCAGGGACCCTGCTAGTGTCAGAACCTTGGTGTCACCTTGAAAGGGTAGAGAAATGCCCTGACCCAGCCTCATCCTGCCCTCTGAACTCCTGCCA